TTTCGCTCTCAAAAGTTGAACGCGCACCCGACTCATGTTGAATACATCGACGAGCAGCTGCGCATTCTGTCGACCCGCTTGCGCAAGCTGGGACGCCAAGCCGCACGGCGACGCCGTGCACGTTTGGTGGAGGAGTTGACGGACCACTGGTTGCACTACAGGGTCGCGGAGGCGTTGAGGGCTTCCCGCCGTGCGGCGTCCTGCCGCTTTGGTCCCAAGCGGCGAGATGGGCGCCGTGCCTGTTCCCGAATGCCGCCCTCGCAGCAGTTGATAGATGCATGGCGACTCCCAGGCAAGGAAGGGGGCACGAGTGCGGCACCATTGGATTGGGAGGTGCGGAGAGAGGAGCACGACGAGGATTACGACTCGGATGGGGGACGAGGAGATGCACGAGAAGGTCAAGGAGGACATCGGTCAGGCGAGGAAATACATCAAACATGCCCCTCAACGACGAGCCGTCCCATCCTTCTGCGCCCCATTGGAGTTCTGGCACATGGCCATGTTCCCCAACTGGCGGCGTCGACAAACTGGTGGTCTCGGGGGTCCTGCTAAAGCGCCCTCGAACAAGATGTCATGGTTCCTCCTTGGGTTAGGGAGTCACAGAATGCGACAACATAGAGCGGTCCCGAAGTATTGGAATTGCAGCCTGGGGGGGGCCCTCTGCATAAAAGTCACAAAGAGGGCCCTACGGGCAAGAGCGTAGTGCACATTCTTCATGTTCCAGGCAAGGCTTTGTTTGCTAAGATGATGCAGTGCGCGCCCGTGGATTCGGACTGCGGGTTCGCGCAGGGTAGGAGGGGGGGGGGGGCTTCGATTCTGGCTTCAAACACTGTTTCTCGTCGACTTTGGAAAGCACGTCGAACCCACGGGCTATATTTTAAGGACATGAGTAATGCTTTCGCCAGCGGCTACTGGCCGAACATGGACGAGGCAGTGCAGCAGTTTGCGTATGAGGAAGATCAGGCTCTTTGTCGTCTCCGCTTATCGGGAGGCGGTAGTAGCTCTACCTGCTCGAGGGAGGTCGGGTGGTCATGAAAACTCAGCAGGGAGGGCTCATGGGTGATCCGTTCACTGTGCAGGCATTCAACGGCACCTTGCAGGCGCCGATCGCGGATTGGCGACGCGACGTGGAGCAGGCAGATTCATGGTGTACAGAGCTCGCGGCCAAATGGGAGAGTCTCACTGCAGATTTCTGTCGCCTTAAGTACGCAGACGACATTCACTCCATCGTGCTTGGAGATTACAGCACGACTCTCCCACAGTTCATCGATAAGCTGAAGCATCCCGACCGCTTGTTATACGACCGGCTGTCTCCCGTGGGGCATGGCCAAAACATGCAGAAGCAGGAGTTTTTCTGTTTTACTCCGTGGCCCACAGCACTTTCTCGAAGCAGATCTTGAAGAGGGGGCACGCCTCTCTGGAGGGCAACATACGTGAACAAGTTAGGTACCTGGGGCCACATCTGGTACTCCGAGACACCGCTCATCATGAAATTGAAAGACGAGTTTCAGCAGCCCGGGTATCATTTCGATCTCTGGGTTCGTTCTGGCAACTCGACATTCCTTGGAAGTTCAAGGGGCTTTTACCCCAGGGGTTCGGGCTCAACGCACTTCTGAGTGGGATGGAAGCGTTTGTCTTGGGATCTTCAGAGGTGGGAAAGCTGGAGGCTACCCTCGCGCGTTTCTGCAGGATTGCGATGGCTGGCAAGGCCACGGTCTGGGAGGGCGCCCACCCGCACTCGATGTGGAACAAAGCCCTCTTGGAATACTCGAAGCTCGAGAGCCCCCAACTGGAACTTCGCATTCGTAGAGTTCGACTAGTTCAGAGCTGGCCCGCCCGCCCCGCACACCATCGACAGGCTTCGCGCGCACCGTTCGGGAAGATCTCGCTAGAAGCGGGGGGGCCTCTTACCTCGTCGGGATCCCTCTCGCCTACTGCATGCCCCTGGCTCTTTCAACTCAGAGATGACCTTCTGGCCGTCTCGGTGGCGCTTGACCAGGAGGTTTCCAAGGAGATTGCTGATGACGTTCGGCTGTTGCTGGACACGGCGAGCTCCCCTTTCTTCTCAGCCATTGACGTTGCCGCTTACAGGGCCAGGCAAATCACGGTGGCTATTCCTCCCCTTCGGGACATGCTGGAGGGGGCCGCGGCCGAGTTGCTACAACAGCAGACGGCCTCGAGCAATGGCGACGCCCGACGTGCGTCGGGGGTCACCGTTGAAGGACGAGCAGAGGTCGAGAACGAGATTGAGACGGCCGTTTTGCTTTGGAACTGCTGGCTCTCCTCCGAGACCCACGACGCCGAGCCGTGCGATGCGAGTTTTTTTTCTCCGAATCGTCGTGATCTCATGAACCACCTTCGACGAGTTCATGGAATTCGAAAGTTATGCCGAGTACTCACTCCGACAAACGTGTGCGTCCACTGTCGTCAGGTTTTCGCTTGTCGTGCCAATGCTGCTAAACGCTTGAAGTGATCGATGTTCCGCGGCCACTGCGACGCTGTCGGTCCGTCTACCTTGAGGGGGGTCAAACAGGTTGCGTCATGTGCTTGTTCCGTCTGTGAATTTGAGGGCTCGAGCTTGGGCGACTTGAGTGCCCACCTTCAGCTACGCTTGCCTCTTCGACCGCGCCCCTTTGTGGACGATGCCCGGAGAGGCGGCGGCTTCGAGCGGGTCCATGCAAGGCGTGGAGATACCCTCCTGGTTCAAGGTCGGCGAGAAGAGACACCGAGGGCGACGACGCGCAGCGCCGCGACAATACACACCGTGGTGGCACAAAAGGAGGCGGCCAAAAGGATCAGAAGGCAAACGACAAATCTGACACGGCTCACAATCGGCTCGCCCTCAGCCTGGCGCGCGACATGGCCGACGCCAAAGGCGCACTCTACCTGATTTACGAGTTCCCAGACGCAAGGCAGGGGCTCCCGCGGGCCTGCAAGAGCGCAGGCGTGGCGTTCCACAAGGCTTCATTGGAGATGAAAGAGCAGGCCGAGTCAGGAAGTGCACCAGGCTACAACGGGAGGGGCCCACCGCACCTGCACGTGGCGACGGCGGCGATCTTAAGCGGAGCGGGCAAGACTTTCGGCGAGCAGTCGAGCAAGGACGAGGTGGTGTTGCGCGACGAGATGAGGCAGTTCTACTCGGAGAAGGTGTACAAGGCGGACCTCAAGGTGCTGGCGCGCAGCATTCCATACTTCCGCTGCAGGGCGTTGAAGGCGAAGGGCGACGAGGCGCCGAAGGCGATGGCCGCGCAGATGGAAAAGCTGATCGTCTTCGAGAAAGGCGAGTTCATCAGCGGAGCGGCGCCGAGGGGCCCCTTGGAGAGGATGCCGGGGACGGAGGTCGGGAAGAGGGAGAGCGCGTAGGCAGCGAGGCCCCCCCCCAGCAGCTCAGCCAGGTGCTCTTAGAGAGATTCAGTTTCGGTCTCGGGCTCGGGAGGAAGTTTTCTCGAGCAGCACCCGTTTCAGATAATTAGTGGCGAGAGGAGTTTTGTCTGAGGAGGTTTTAACAGCCCCCTCTGGGTTTACATATGCTGCTGCAGCGTTCCTGCCTGGCCCCCTCCCCGAGACCCCTTTAATTTTTGCCCCTAGGCCCAAAGAGGGCTCCAAAGGCCGAGGGAAGGGTCGTGGGAGCTGTGGTCGGAGCGGGGGTCGTGGTGTCGGGTGACGCCCCGTGCCTTTGGAGCCTGCCCCCACCTGGCTGCGTGCCGACATGGGGGGGGGTGCAGGACGGGCCAGTGCCGCTTTGCGGAGCGCGCTGCCAGAATGACGGTCAGGGTGGATACGAAGCGATCCGACTCAGAGTCCTAAATTTGTTGAGACGGGTTTTCCTTGGAATCCTCCAGTCATGAGGCACCTCTCGGCAGGACTCCATGAGTTATTCGTATTATTATTATTCTTATTATAATTCCTCCTCCTCCTCCTCCTCCTCCTCCTCCTCCTCCTCCTCCTCCTCCTCCTCCCTCTCGCCCGGATCTTCCGCCCCCACCTTGGTTACGAAAGGGTATGGGACTTGCGGAGTGCTGGCGCACGGCGCGTGGTGGCCGCTACCCTGCGGGGCACAGACACCTACGGTACGGATAGGCTCCTCCTCCGTCGCCTCCGCCTCCTCCTCCCCCTCCTCCTCCGCCTCCTCGTCCTCCTCCTCCTCCTCCTCCTCCTCCTCCTCCTCCTCCTTTTCCTCCTCCTCCTCCTCCCCTCTCCTCCTCCTCCTCCTCCTCCTCCTCCTCCTCCCCCTCCTCCTCCTCCTCCTCTTCCTCCTCCTCCCTCTCGCCCTAATCATCCGCCCCCGCCTTGCTTACGAAAGGGTATGGGACCTGCGGAGTGCTGGCACACGGCGCGTGGTGGCCGCTACCCTGCGGGGTACAGACACCTACGGTACGGATAGGCTCCTCCTCCCCCTCCTCCGCCTCCTCCCCCTCCTCCTCCTCCTCCTCCCCCTCCTCCTCCTCCTCCTCCTCCTCCTCCTCCTCCTCCTCCTCCTCCTCCTCCTCCTCCAACTCCTCCTCCTCCTCCAACTCCTCCTCCTCCTCCTCCTCCTCCTCCTCCTCCTCCTCCTCCTCCTCCTCCTCCTCCTCCTCCGCCTCCTCTCCTCCTCCTCGTCCTCCTCCTCCTCCTCCTCCCTCCCTCCTCCTCCTCCCCCTCCCCCTCCCCCTCCTCATCCTCGTCCTCCTCGTGTCATCGGTGCCACGGCCCATCACTCTCCGCCGGTGTGCCGAGGGGGCGGCGGCCGCTGGGCCGCAGCGCGGTCCAGGGTCCAGGGCCCAGGGCTGGTCAGGTCCAGCGCGGGCCCCCCGCGGCCCTCCCCCTTCCCCTCCCGCACTGTGTCTAGTTACCAGCGGCGAATTTCAACGAATTCCTCCTCCTCCTCCTCCTCCTCCTCCTCCTCTCTCCTTCCCCTCCTCCTTCCTCCTCCTCCTCCTCCTCCTCCTCCTCCTCCTCCTCCTCCTCCTCCTCCTCCTCATTGTAAACCCTTCGTCTGTAACCTCCCCCTCCTGCCTCCCATGCCTCGCGTGGCTGCCCCTGTTTCTGCCCCGAACGCGCCCCGAGGGAGACCTCGGGAGGCCCACAGGACCCCCCGAAGAGGGCCGCGAGCGCCCCAGCGCCTCGAGCCTTGATCCTCCTCCCTGACCCGCGTGCGGGAGCCGGGAGGAGGGAGCGGGAATGGGGAGGGGGAGGGAGCAGGAGAAGGAGGAGCAGGAGGAGGGGGGCGGGCGAGGGCAGGGAGGGAGGCAGGGGAGCCAGAGCAGCGGGAGCGGCAGGAGGAGGGAGGAGTGCACCCTCGAGCCTCTTACCCCTGGAGAGCCAGCCCTCGGCGCCAGGCCCTGACTCAGCTGGGCAGGCCCGGGCCCCCGTGCGCCCCGCGCGCCTCCGCCGCGGGCGCCCCGCGAGCGGCGCGCGCCTCGCCCCTCCCGCGGCGGAGGCGGGAAGGCCGGGCCTCGCACGATCCGCCGGATGGCCCTGCCGGCGCCGTCAGCGTTGCCTCCGGGCTCCACGATGGCAGGGAGGGAGGCCCGACGCTTGAGCTGCCTTGGAGGGCTGCTGCAACCCTCCTCGAAGTCAAGCGCACGTTCTGAAGGTGGGTCGGCGCGCGAGGCGCGGCGCACGGGGTCAGACTTCTGTGGGAGCAGCCGCCAGTGTCGGCGCGAACGCTGGGGTTTTTGGGGGGCCCAGGGGCGCCGCCACGTCGAGGGAAAACCTTGCGCTTGACCTCGAGGGGGAATGCGGGGCTCGAAGGCGGACGAAGCTGCAGAAACCTGAACGGTCGCCAGTCCGCGCGGATCTCCTGGATCGGCGCTGGTCCCCCCCATGGCCCAGCGCCCGCGGCGCTGCCCACTGCACGCTCCGCGCGCCGGGGAGGGAGGGCCCAGCGCAGGTCCAAGAAATTCGCGCGGGCCGCTGGAAGATTGTGTTCATGCCCATGCTTCTTCCTCTGTGCGAGGTCTGGGCAACAGGCCGCCCTCGCACGGCTGGTCTGGCGAGCGGTCTGACATTGCCCGCTGTCGTGACCACCCCCTGGTCATAGAATCCGGAGTCCTCATCCTCGGGCCGGCACGGTCGAACTGGGTACGGGAATGTTGGGGACGAAAGTTGACAGCAGTTGTTCCTGGCCACTTTGAGCAGGACTCGCTGTCGGCGCTGCCGCGGAAGTTGCCCATATGACAAAAAAGTCACTCTGGCCGTCAGCGGAGGGATGCGTCGTGCATTCGCGCTGGCCAGGCAGACAGCACATCTCCAGGGGCACTTCTGCACGTGCTGTGTGGCCGTTCCGGCGTGTACACCGCACAGGCTTTCGCCTCCACAGCTCGCATCACATAGAGTGCACGGCGTAGCTTGCCCCACATGGTTCACATCGCATGGCTCCTGCCTCCACAGCGCACACCATATAGCCATACCTCCACAGCTCCTCAATGGTTCACATCGCATGGCTCCTACCGCCACAGCGCACACCACATACCCACATAGCTTACACGACCCAGCTTTATACCTGGGCAGTGCAGCAGTAACCTGCTGTTCGAGGCGCCACGCTGGCCGACAGCTCTTCAGTCGCTGCGCTCACTCCGCCGGCCCAGGCTGCCCTATGCTGCGTGCGCTTGCCCGCGTCTTCGTCGCCACGGCGCGTGCTGGATCGTATTGGTAGTGCTACGTCGGGCCTGCCCCCCTACAGGGGGAATATTCAAAAATAGTTCAAAAATAGCCTGGGGACGATTTGTTTGACTATGTTTGAGCATTTGGGGGGTATTGTTTGAGTATTTGTCATGTTTCGCCCAAAATCCCCCTGTAGGGGGACACGCCCGACTTGACGGTAGTGTGAAGTTCCAGTGGTCCAGTCTTCGGGGGCTGGGGGCTCAAAGGACCTCAGGACACGCCAACCCGTGCCAAGAACACGGTGGCGGTTTGGACCGCCCAGTCTGGCGGCGGGTAAACACCCATGCCTAAACCAATTTCCCAGAGTGAAGGAGAGGGAGGAGGGGGGAGGAGGAGGAAGTAGGCGGAGCAGGAAGAGGAGAAGGAGGAGGAGGCGGAGGAGGGGGAGGAGAGAGATGAGAGCGTGCCCAGTGTTCAGGTCCAATCGACGCTGGGATATCGGACGTCATCGATGGGGGGCGCCTGGCTGCAGACATGCTGCATATTCAAATTCAGACACGCGGTTGTCAAGAAATCTGACATGCAGGGATACGGATCACATCTGGTTGCTTATCGGTTATTTGCCCAGGTGTATTGTGACGGCCTTACGGCGGGTGCCGCCGACCCTGACGACGACGACGAGGAGGACGAGGACGAGGAGGAGGAGGAGGAGGAGGAGGAGGAGGAGGAGGATGGGAAGAATGAGCAGGAGGAAGAGGCGGAGGACGCGGAGGATCAGCAGGAGGGGGCGGAGGATCATGCGGAAGAGGATGAGGAGGGGAAGCAGGGGCAGGGGGAGGACGGGGGAAGGATGAGCAGTAGGAGGACTAGGAGAGTGGGAGTCGGAGGAGCAGGAGAAGGAGGACGCGGAGGAGGGGGAGGAGGAGGGGCAGGAAGAGGAGGATGGGAAGGACGAGGTCGAGGTAAGGTTGCGGAGGGCCGGGAGAAGGGCACCCGAAGGAGGGGTGCGAGCATGAGGAGGAGGAGGAGGAGGACGATCAGGAGGATGAGGATGAGGAGGAGGAGGATGCGAAGGAGGGGAATGAGGAGGAGGGAAAGGGTGAGGAACAGGAGGACGAGCAGGAGAAACAGGAGGGGGAGCAGGACACCGTGGAGCAGGAGGAGGAGGATGAGGAAGAGCATGCGGAGGAGGATGAGGGGGAGTTGGGGCAGAAGGAGTTCGAGAAGGACAATGAGCAGGCGGAAGACGAGGAAGACGAGGAGGACGAGAAGGAGGAGGAGGAGGAGGAGGAGGGCGAGGAGGAGGAGGAGGAGGAGGAGGAGAAGAGTCAGGAGCAGGGAGCGGAGGGGATGCTTGTCGCGGTCTCTTCGGAGCGCTCTTCGGAGCGCTTTCGGGGGCCTCTGGTGCGCAGTTTGGGGGCGTTTGGGGAGACCCTTCGGAGGCCTCTTGGGAGACTCTTGGGGGCCTCCAGGGGCGTCATGGAGGTCTTGGGTGCCTTCTGGGGCCTCCTGAGAGCTTCTCGGGGCGAGGGCTCGAGATGTCCGTTCGGGTCCCCCGTTTGGGCACCCTCTTGGATCCGCCGTGGGTGCCTCTTGGCCTGTCCAACTCAGACACCGGGTTGTCCAGAAAGTTGACCTGCAGGGGTACAAATCACGTGTGGTCTTCAATCGACTCCTTCCTCAGGTGTACTTGCTCAAAGACCTCGTTTGTATGGTTTTGTTTCTTGTGAGGGTGGTTCTGCTGCCCTCTAAGAAGGCAGGCGCCAGCAGGAGCAGGATGAGCCAGTGCCAGTGGGGCTCACCACTAGGGCGATCACTAGATCCTCCTGAGGGTCCAGGATCGAGGAGGAGGGGGTTCGGAGGGATTTGTTAGGCGTTCTTGTCGGTCATGGAGAGGTCCTCCCCCCCATCTCGGGAAGAGTTGGCGACTCCCCTGGTGGTGACCTCCCTGGGCATCGCCTGAGTGACGGAGGAAGATCGAAGAAGGAAAACGAACAGCATGACTAACCATGAACTGCTGGAGGTCAGCGCGGGTTGCTTTGATCGGCGCGGAACCCCAAGCTGCAGGGGAGGTGATCCTGGTCCCCCCCCCTCTGGCGGCGCCTCCGCCTTCGGTGCGGTAGAGGAGGAGGACGTACAGGCCAGCCAACACTGTGCCAGCTTTCATTTTGAGGATCGCAATGCCAAGTTTGTTACATCGCATCATACATGCCTGACAGTCTCAGCTGTCTCAGCACTCCTGCAAGCCTGTGTCACAGGCTGTGCCAGGCCAGCCTTCAGGGCCAGTCACTGCGTACCGCCTGCGTCACTCTGACCCTCTGACCTTGGGGACTGGCGGTGGGGTGTTGGTGGCGGTAGTAGCATTGGCTGGGGGACCAGAAAGCGACTCGGACTACAGGGAGTTCAACAAAAATTAGGTCGGCATGCCCGGGCTCAGCCTCGCGGACCTACTCTAAAACCATATTGTTCAAAACCCTTTGTTTTGTTCCACGCCCTGCCGTCATCGCGCAAATGATACTCGAAAACCTAATTTTAAAAATTGTCACGGCGATCGTCCTCCAGATATTCCTCCGGATTTTCTTCCAGATCTTCACAGGTCATTAAATCTTCACGTGAATCTTCACCCAGGCCCGTAAGTCTTCACCCAGGGCTCTCATTTTCCCACAGAGCCCGAAATCTTCACTTAAATCTTCACCCCAGGCCCTAAATCTTCACATAAATCTGCGCCCAGGGCCGTAAATCTTCTCCTAAATCTTCACCCGGGACCCTGAATCTTCACCTAAATCTTCACCCAGGGCCGCAAAACTTCACCCAGGCCTGACATCTTCGCGTACACCTCCCTCCAGCGCACTAAATCTTCACCCAGGGGCGTAAATCTTCACCCTGGCCTTAAATCTTCATCTAAATATTCGCCCAGGCTTTTAAATTTGACCCAAGGCATTAAATGTCCATTTAAATCTTCTTCCAAGCGCGTAAATCTTCAGCCAGGGCTTCAAATCTTCACCCAGAGCCCGAAATCTTCACCGAAATCTTCGCCCAGGGCTTTAAATCTTCACGTTCATCTTCACGCAGGGCCGTAGATCTTCACCTAAATCTTCACCCAGAACCCTGAATCTTCACCAAAATCTTCGCCCATGGCCGCAAAACTTCACCCAGGTCTTACATCTTCACCTGAATCTTCAACCTGCGCCCTAAATCTTCATTTGCACTTTCGCCCAGGGCCATGAATCTTCACCCATGCCTTAAATCTTAGTGTAACTATTCACACAGGCCCTTAAATATTCCCCGTGGGCATGAAATATTAGTCAAATCTTCACCCAGGCCTGTAAATTTTCACCCAGGGCTCTAAATCTTCACCCAGAGCCCGAAATCTTCATTCAAATCTTCACCGAGGACCCTAAATCTTCACCTAAATCTTCACGCAGGGCCGCAGACCTTGATTTAAATCTTCACCCAGGACCCTGATTCTTCACCTAAATCTTAACCCGGGGCCGTACATCTCCACCCAGGCTTTAAATCTTCACTTAAATCTTCATCCCAGGGGTGACCCTAAACGATGTTTAGTTGTTTTATTTCCAAACGTTGTCGTGTTAACATTGTTTTTTCTTGGGAACGCGTTTCAGAACACGTATTCGCATTCTTTGGACACCAGCCGTCGCGCGGGCAGACGCCGTTTGTTTTGTTTGCGTTGTTTGTTGGTATGCTTTCATGTTTTTTGAATCGGCTAAATTTCCCCTTCGAGCTTAGCCTAAG